ATTGGAGATGGGTTGCAGTTGGATTGGGGATAAATTGGAGATGGATTGAAGATGCATTGAAGATGCATTGGAGATGGATTGAGAGATACATTGGAGATGATTTGGAGATGGATTGGAGATGGATTGGAGATGGAGTGGAGATGGATTGGGGATAAATTGGAGATGGGTTGCAGTTGGAATGGGGATAAATTGGAGATGGATTGGAGATGGATTGGAGATGGATTGGAGATGGATTGGAGATGGATTGGAGAGGGATTGGAGCGGGATTGGAGAGGGATTGGGGATGGATTGGAGAGGGATCGGAGAGGGATTGGAGAGGGATTGGAGATGGATTGGGGATAAATTGGAGATGGATTGGGGATAAATTGGAGATGGGTTGGATAAAGATTGGAGATGGATTGGAGACGGATTAGAGATAGATTGGAGATTGATTGGGGATAAATTGGAGATGGAGTGGAGATGGAGTGGAGATGGATTGGGGATAAATTGGAGATGGGTTGCAGTTGGATTGGGGATAAATTGGAGATGGATTGAAGATGCATTGAAGATGCATTGGAGATGGATTGAGAGATACATTGGAGATGATTTGGAGATGGATTGGAGAGGGATTGGGGATAAATTGGAGATGGATTGGAGATGGATTGGAGATGCATTGGAGATGGATTGAGAGATACATTGGAGATGATTTGGAGATGGATTGGAGATGGATTGGAGATGGAGTGGAGATGGATTGGGGATAAATTGGAGATGGGTTGCAGTTGGATTGGGGATAAATTGGAGATGGATTGGAGATGGATTGGAGATGGATTGGAGATGGATTGGAGATGGATTGGAGAGGGATTGGAGCGGGATTGGAGAGGGAATGGGGATGGATTGGAGAGGGATCGGAGAGGGATTGGAGAGGGATTGGAGATGGATTGGGGATAAATTGGAGATGGATTGGGGATAAATTGGAGATGGGTTGGAGATGGAGTGGAGATGGATTGGGGATAAATTGGAGATGGGTTGCAGTTGGATTGGGGATAAATTGGAGATGGATTGAAGATGCATTGGAGATGGATTGAGAGATACATTGGAGATGATTTGGAGATGGATTGGAGATGGATTGGAGATGGAGTGGAGATGGATTGGGGATAAATTGGAGATGGGTTGTAGTTGGATTGGGGATAAATTGGAGATGGATTGGAGATGGATTGGAGATGGATTGGAGATGGATTGGAGAGGGATTGGAGAGGGATTGGAGCGGGATTGGAGAGGGATTGGGGATGGATTGGAGAGGGATCGGAGAGGGATTGGAGAGGGATTGGAGATGGATTGGGGATAAATTGGAGATGGATTGGGGATAAATTGGAGATGGGTTGGATAGAGATTGGAGATGGATTGGAGATGGATTAGAGATAGATTGGAGATTGATTGGGGATAAATTGGAGATGGACTGGAGATGGAGTGGAGATGGATTGGGGATAAATTGGAGATGGGTTGCAGTTGGATTGGGGATAAATTGGAGATGGATTGAAGATGCATTGAAGATGCATTGGAGATGGATTGAGAGATACATTGGAGATGATTTGGAGATGGATTGGAGATGGATTGGAGATGGATTGGAGAGGGATTGGGGATAAATTGGAGATGGATTGGAGATGGATTGGAGATGGATTGGAGATGGATTGGAGAGGGATTGGAGCGGGATTGGAGAGGGATTGGGGATAAATTGGAGATGGATTGGAGAGGGATTGGAAAGGAATTGGGGATGGATTGGAGAGGGATTGGAGAGGGTTTGGAGAGGGATTGGAGAGGGATTGGAGATCTATTGGAGATAGATTGGCGAGGGATTGGAGATGGATTGGATAGAGATTGGAGATGGATTGGAGATGGATTGGAGATCGATTGGAGAGGGATTTGAGAGTGATTGGAGATGGATTGGAGATGGATTGGAGATAGATTGGAGATGGATTGGGGATAAATTGGAGATGTATTGGGGATAAATTGGAGATGGGTTGCAGTTGGATTGGGGATAAATTGGAGATGGAGTTGAGATGGAGTGGAGATGGAGTGGAGATGGATTGGAGAGGGATTGGAGAGAGATTGGAGATGGGTTGCAGTTGGATTGGGGATAAATTGGAGATGGAATGGAGATGGAGTGGAGATGGAGTGGAGATGGATTGGAGAGGGTTTGGAGAGGGATTGGAGAGAGATTGGAGATAGATTGGAGATGGATTGGGGATAAATTGGAGATGGAGTTGAGATGGAGTGGAGATGGAGTGGAGATGGATTGGAGAGGGATTGGAGAGGGATTGGAGAGAGATTGGAGATGGATTGGAGATGGATTGGGGATAAATTGGAGATGGAGTTGAGATGGAGTGGAGATGGAGTGGAGATGGATTGGAGAGGGATTGGAGAGAGATTGGAGATGGGTTGCAGTTGGATTGGGGATAAATTGGAGATGGAGTGGAGATGGAGTGGAGATGGATTGGAGATGGATTGGAGAGGGATTGGAGAGAGATTGGAGATGGGTTGCAGTTGGATTGGGGATAAATTGGAGATGGAGTGGAGATGGAGTGAAGATGGATTGGAGAGGGATTGGAGAGGGATTGGAGAGAGATTGGAGATGGGTTGCAGTTGGATTGGGGATAAATTGGAGATGGAGTGGAGATGGAGTGAAGATGGATTGGAGAGGGATTGGAGAGGGATTGGAGAGGGATTGGAGAGAGATTGGAGATGGGTTGCAGTTGGATTGGGGATAAATTGGAGATGGAGTGGAGATGGAGTGAAGATGGATTGGAGAGGGATTGGAGAGGGATTGGAGAGAGATTGGAGATGGATTGGAGATGGATTGGGGATAAATTGGAGATGGAGTTGAGATGGAGTGGAGATGGAGTGGAGATGGAGTGGAGATGGATTGGAGATGGATTGGGGATAAATTGGAGATGGGTTGCAGTTGGATTGGGGATAAATTGGAGATGGAGTGGAGATGGAGTGGAGATGGATTGGAGATGGATTGGAGAGGGATTGGAGAGGGATTGGAGAGAGATTGGAGATGGGTTGCAGTTGGATTGGGGATAAATTGGAGATGGAGTGGAGATGGAGTGAAGATGGATTGGAGAGGGATTGGAGAGGGATTGGAGAGAGATTGAAGATGGATTGGAGATGGATTGGGGATAAATTGGAGATGGAGTTGAGATGGAGTGGAGATGGAGTGGAGATGGATTGGAGAGGGATTGGAGAGAGATTGGAGATGGGTTGCAGTTGGATTGGGGATAAATTGAGGATGGAGTGGAGATGGAGTGGAGATGGATTGGAGATGGATTGGAGAGGGATTGGAGAGGGATTGGAGAGAGATTAGAGATGGGTTGCAGTTGGATTGGGGATAAATTGGAGATGGAGTGGAGATGGAGTGAAGATGGATTGGAGAGGGATTGGAGAGGGATTGGAGAGAGATTGGAGATGGATTGGAGATGGAGTGGAGATGGATTTGAGATGGAGTGGAGTCCACGACTTGCGCAATAATTTGTGGAGTAATTTGCGCAATCATTTTAAGTGGCGTAAGTTGTGGCATAGCGACTGAAAATGGCATATTTCACCAGCAAATCGGGACTGTCGTGGAGCCCATTATTGCACAACCTTTCAAGGTAGATACAAGACATTCATAAACGTTATGTTTGAAGTAAACAAATTTCTAATTTTTAGAGTTGCCGATCCATTTCTGAAGAAAGTCAGACAAAATAATTTTCGAAATGGCAGGCTGAGGTGATCCAACAACAAATTAACACACAAACAGCCTTCATAAACGAACAAATTAACACACAAACAGACGTCGTGTGCTGCTTTTATCCTCGTCCAAGATGTTTAAAATTATTTAAAACGTTACGCAGCTACACCAAGTTTCGTGAAATCGATCATAAGTTTATTGCGCAGCTGCGCAACATATTTGTTGGGTATAAAGTCTTACGCATGGCGCATCACTTTTTTGTGCAATCAGCTGCTGCAGTTTTAGCTTAGGGTAGCAGCTCAACAAATCATCATGTCTCTCTGTTAGTCCGTTAGTCTGTTAGTTAGTAACAAACACTGACATTGTCTATTGGTCCAACATATTTTGACCGATTTCAACCAAACCTTAAAAGTCAAAAGTATCAGGAGCCTAGCCCCAACAACATGTCACATGACCAGCTGGGGTTAAAGGTTATCCTGGGGTCAAGGTCAAAATTGTTCAAATTTCAAAGGGAAAATGGCAAAACAGTCATCAATATGTTGACCTTGGTCAAACACTAAAAATGACTTCGACAACTGACCTTAAGCTATGGGGCCAAAGATCAAAATCAGGCAAACACAAATGTGTTGGCCTGAAGCTTCTGAGATCCGTTCAAGCTTGTTCCACTGCAAAACTTTTTCAAAAAAGTGCCTTTGAAACAGATTTTGAGGTTTTTATTTGATGAAGGCGTACGACGCTTCACGTTTTTAAACATTTCTGTGAAAGTGCCAAGTCATGAGCAATACAGTGATGTCATGAGCTGGATCTTCAGTGTCACTGCTGATTGAGAACAAAAAGTTACTAAAAAGTTTTGTTTGAGGTTGATGTGACTATTTTGTTCATTTAGCATGAGGCACAGAGTCAGTGCGATACTTTAATGCAAAAACTGCTATGTGTACTTAATGCAAAGAAGCTAAAGTTCATAAATTATTTAGAAAATCCCAAAGCTGTAAATGTTACATCCTAAGGCGATATCACAGTAATATTAGAAATAATTATTAAAGCGTACATGGAACAAGTGCACTGGAAGAAAAAAAGATTACAAGTATCTAGTTGTCTACCATTACTTTAATATCGACACGAGGCTAGGATATTTGCATGTTTCTTTGTGAAATTCATCCAATGGCCTTTTAATTATGCAAATAAATTATAATTATGAAATCCTAACCATGGAGCACAATATGAACTCTCAAAGAGCACAAACTGTATGATTATCGTTATCGAGGGTTTAGTGCTTAGAGAGCAAACTCACCGCAAATCCAAAATGTCTTGGGAGGTTTTGGATCTCAATCTTGAAGATCTCTGAGGTGAAATGCTGTTGCGTCAGATAGTGATAAGGATCTGTTTTGGCAGCGCCAGTCACCGGTACGTCAGAGGTGCTGGTGGAATGGTTATCTTGTGGGTCAAGACCTGATAGACAAAAACGAACAAATTAAAAGACCAACTCCTACCGGAAGAAAATAAGTTTACTTTGATATTTTTAAGCATGAGATATTTGTAAGTTTAATTATGAGTTTCCAAGTGAGATACTGCACAACAAAAACAGTTCACAATAACAACCAGATTGATCAATAAATTTCAAATTTTGAATAAGGAGCATTCCAAAGTTGTCTTAATAATAGTCTCAACACTGTAAATTTTAATTGAAAAATCAATGCTACAAAATATGAATGTATTTGTAAAGTTAGAGATAAACCTGTACAAATCTTCATTTGGTTGGTTCCCCAAAATGACCAATTTCTACAGTTCATGTAAGCTGGTATTTCTTGTATGCGTAATTAAAAACTACCAAATACATATATGTACAAGTAATGCTTTGTTCAATCACCAGTCTGGTATTTGAGCTCGGGGTATGGTTCTCTGATACTTGATACTTTGTTGATGCCTCATAATATTGTGATTTTTTATTTCCCTTTTTTTAATGGGCTTTGTATTAATCAATCAAAGAATGAATCAATCAAAGAATGAATGTTTTAAGATATGAATGGCTTTGTAAACTTGGATTCATTCATCAGAAACTGACCAGTTTGACAGTTCAACAAGGGGCACATTTTTACGAAATTGAAACAATGAAACCGTCTTGCAGCAAATTAAGTCATTTGGCCAAAAGTATCAAGTTTTGCAACTGGGCAATTCCACGAAAAAAGAGGAAACTGTATGAAATCTTCCAAACTACAAGCATCACAACGTCAAATGTGGTGTCAAATTAAAAGGTGCATATCAAGATCTTTCATTTGAGTGGTGTGCCGATGAGATGAACTGTAGTGAGTGATTTTTGGACAAAAAACTGGATTTTTGGTGGTCATTTTGGCACTTTGTTTTAACATGCAAAATGTGACTGTTATTGAGAGTTTTTGTGCTTAAGGCAGAGACAAAGGTTCATATATTATAAGAACAGAGTTTCATTACGTTGCAGTTCATCAAACTCAGATTTATGCTGTGTTAGAAACCATGAAGAGGAAGTAACATGAGTGACGTAACGTGAGTGATGGTACCTCCCTGAAATCTAATGTCCCTTACTTCTAAAACACACACTTATTTGATTTGCGAAATGATAGTATGCGCATGCGTACAAACCGAAAATCAACAATCAACCATAATGCCTGCACATTTCAAGTGTCAGGTTGGCTCACTGCGGAAAAGGCATATTCTTCATAATTTTGGTCAAAAAACCAACAGAATCCAGCGATGTTTGCTCTACGCACATTACGTGAGTATGTCATTAGGTACAGTATGGAGTTTAGGGGCAAACTGTGAAGTGGTTCTGTGAAAAATGTCTGTGTTTTGATGGACATTTTTGTATTGCGGAGTTCTGTGTCTATGAGACTCAGCTCACGCGGAGCGTCATAGTTCTAGGAGTACAAAAGTCAGTTTTGAACAGAACTCGTAAAAATAGAGGTGTCCTACAGATAAGGATTACCATATGTTCTCAATGTCACCAACTAGTTGGGGTGGTCGGAAAAAAATCCATACTGGGCCACCACTCAGAGCTCCTGCACAAAGTCTATGGGCCATGACAGAACACATATTACGGTTCGTTTTCCTAGTTCCAGATAGCAAACATCATTTAGGCTGCTTTCAGCTCAATTACTCCACAAATTCAAGAAACGTGAAACTTCGTGAAACGTCCGGTGATGACAGCCATTTTGAATGTGACAAGAGATGACCTCAAGCTGTGACGTCGCGTTTATGCAAATTGCTTGTGGAGCGCGCGAGGGCACGAGGGCAAATGCGACGGCTGTTTCCTGTGCCGTAGATCCTAAATAGAGATCAGTGCACGTGGCCCCCAGACGATAAATGCATGGTACAGGAAACAGCCGTCGTATTTGCAACTCGCGCTTTCATAGTGCATATGGGCTCCAGAAAGATTCAAGAATATCTCGGAAAATTGAACATCATTACACCTAAGCATACCAGAAGTGATAGATGGGCCATCGTAGAATACAACCATATGTAAGAAATTCCCTGCAAATTTTATGAAAACGTCCTCAGTAGTGCGCGGACCACGGTGTGTGGCCTTAGGTTCAGCGCAGCATACCGACGGCCACACTAGTACGGGCTAATAACACACGACGAAACATCATAACAAGTTACGCTATAAACGCAGTGCGTCTACGGCTACTTCTGCAGTACATTTCACTAAATAAAATAATGCAGATTTCACAAATAGCTATTAAATTCAACCAAATTAATGTTACCTTTAATGAAAACAAACTTGTAGTACTGATACTGACGTAATACTAATAAATAAGAAAGTTTTCAGCCACTCAGACCAGAGTCAGAAGAATACGGGTAGCGGCAGATTTACACGAGTCGCGTGTTTATGTTGTTGAATGCTGCCCTCATGTGTCGCTCGATTGGCAGCATGCAAGCTGTTTCGAAACCTCGGTCTTCATCGCAGACGCGCATCCGTCTTTTTTTTTACGAGACGCATACGTCTCCCGTAACGGAAGCCTAATAACACCTATTTGTCTCTTCTTATTAGACAACTCACGCTTTCTGCATCTGAGTAGCTGTGTGGAAATTTCATAATCTTCAAATAATTATAACAGACGAAGCCGTAGCTGGCTTCGAATTTTGGAAAAACCCTTTAAACCACTTTTTGCCTGGAGGGCGCTGTTTAACTTTACGCTGAACACTAGTTATAGTTTTTCAACTTAAAGGGAATATACACCATTTGCAAACATAGAAAAATAAAACTACCAAGTTTTTACGAAATACCTTACTAGGATGTTGGTAAATGACAGTCTATAGCATCCTGTAAAATCATGGCGCCTGGTGTGAAGTCATTTTCAAGAAAATGGTATTTTTGTATACATTTCCAACGGTGGTCGGCCGACCACCATTGGAAAAACCTAACTATTTTTCAACTACTGCTCCAACTTCATACTAACCCCTCAAATAGTTCAATTCTGAAAATTACAGCAAAAGCCAATGATGTACCTCCCCTTTAATATTTTCCCCCAGAATTTATTTATGTGATTATTCAAGGCAAAGGAGTTATTGAACATGGCTATTCATTGACATTGGTAGGTACCCAAGAGATTCTGAAAAATTATTTATATTTTGTAGTAGGACTAGGACACCTCGTCGTAAAAATAATTAAAAAAACAAAAAAGCAAAATGTTAAATCGCCCAGTTTGAATGGCTGCAGCTCGCTATGGCTAGTGCTAGGATTAGGAGGCTTTTTCGGAAAGATTCCCATATTTGGCCATCACTAATGTTTTCCTTCAGCGACCTATCAGCCATCAGAAAGTGATAATAATAATATGTCCTATAAAGGGCGATCGTGAATTGAAGGGTCCGGTTCCTATATAAGGGAACATTCCACTTTAAAAATTATTAGACCTACCAAACTAGTTTGCGACATTCTCAATCAACAGGTATGTCATAGATAGAGGGCAGGGTTTTTTTTTTTTTAGGGAAAAACACACGACCTGAAAATCAAGATGGCGATCACCATGCGATGTACCGTGAGCACGCACGGTGTGCCGAATCGCAAGGCACAAACTGCGCAGGAAAATCATGTTTTCTACCCCTAGAATCTGTTCACAATTGCAAAACGGGTCTCACTAGAATGAATTGAGAAAAGTCTGTGTTGATTGTAAATGTGATTTTTGAGCAAAAAAAACATATTTTTGACTCTAATTCGATCAAAATAAAACAGGGGCCCTTCACTTCAAGATCGCCCTTAAAAAGTCAAATTTAGCAGGGAATTTATTGGGGTATTTACTGAGAAAACACACATTTTCAGACCAGTCTCATTCTGCACAGGATGACATTGACAAGTGATGGCCGGATACGAGAATCTTTCCAAAAAGAACATGCTTAGGGGGAGTTAGGGTCCTGCTTTTTGAAAAAAAAGGAAGCGAGAGGCCCTTGTTTTTCTGTCCTCCAAAATGGTCGCCCGACAGGGCTATTGTTCAAGATGGCTGCCATTTGGGTTTTTTTTAAATGGCTGCCATTAAACTCAGAAAATTAAATACCAGCTTTATATCGAAATGTGTTTATAGCTCCATGATCAACAGATACAATGCAAGAGGCCAAAATTAAAAAAAAAAAATTGGTAAAAAAAAAAAATAAAAAATAAAAGGAGCCCAAGGCCAAAAAAAAAAAGTCTCCGGTTTCTGGTATGCGCACGCGTCGCCGTAGCCATGCGCGTCGGCAAAATGAAAAAGTTTTTTTTCAATGAAAGATGATGTCTCAAAACCGCCAAACTTACTGGTTTGACTGGAATCCGGCTGCTGCACAATTTTAACGTGTTTTTAGATTGGGTTATGGTCGAGAATAAGCTTTATGTGGCCTCTCTGGACTCCCATATATTTGCACTAAGTTTAGTTGGGCACCATTTGCAGTCATCAGCCGACATTTGAAGCAAAAAAAAATCAGGTAAAAAAAAAAAAAGCCGCGTCGCCGCACCACTTTTTGGGCAAGCTCCATACCAGAAACCGGAGACTTTTTTTTTTGGCCTAAGGTGGCAGCCTCCAAAAAGGAAGCAGGCAGGGACGCTTAACATGTTTTTGTTTTTTATTTGGCCTAATTTGTTCCCCCCCCCCCCACTTTGAAAATTTTTGTGAAGGTTTTGATTGAGTAGAAAATGAGGTTTTTTTACTGATTTTATTGGCATTGCTGTTTTATACATTTACATATTTTTTTTTACATCATACATATAAATTTGATTGTTGACATTTTTTCTCAATTGTGTTTTTTTGCAACTGTAGGCGCATCCATCAGTGCGGATGAAAGGCGCTGAGGCAGACTGGACGCCCATACAATGCACAGACAGGGAGTGT